AGAGGGAGGAGGCGCCGCGCGGTCGGGCGGGGCGGGGGGCCGAGGGCACTTTGCTGCACCTCTGGACCTTGGCCCCAGTGGGAGGTCCAAGCCAGCCTGGCTGAAGGGTGCTCACAGCCCTGCTGGAGCCCCTGAGCTGGCCCTGACCGCCCACAGGGCTGCTGCCTGCAGCAGTGACCGCAAGGCTGCCCAGCTCCTCCCCTGCCTGCCAGTTCCTGCAGCCGCAGGACGTGGCTCTGCCTGCCCAGCCCCTCTGCCCTGGACTGCCCAGCTGCTGCTTGCCCAGCTCCCCCACATACCGCAAGCTCTGGTCCCTGATGTCCAAAGTCCACTTGCAGGGGTTGAAGATGAGTCCCTTCCTGCACCCCTGGTGCTGCCTCACATGGGAGAGCAGCTGTTCCCAGTGTCCTGCTGTGCATCCCACGCCCCAGCCATGCTGGAACATCTGTAACGGGAGCCAGGCCAGCAGCCCTTTGCTCTCTTTAGTTTTACCTCTTGGGCCCTTTGACCCACACGTGATGTTCACAGCATGGGGCCAAGTGGACTTGCTCAGAACCTGCTCTGGCACCAGTCCACGAGGCTCCTGCTTCCCAACCAGCCTGTGCAGTCCTGCTGCTGCTTCCTCCGGTGATGGTGGGAAGCGCTGGCAGCTGTGGTGGGAGGGGGAGTGCCTGGGCTGTGCCAGGCTGTGCCAGGGAGCTACTCAGAGCTGCTGAGCTGGGCTGTGGGACTGTATTCCTGCTTCTGTGACTCCTGTGGCTGAGCAGGAGGGGAAGTCGTCACCTCCCATGGGGAGGACAGGGCAGCAGGAGGTCACAAATTCACCATCCTGTTGTGGCCCCTCCGAGCAAACCTGCACTGGTTGTTCATTTGCTTGCATGCTTCTGCATCTTCCTGCCCCAACATGCCCCAGGGCCTTCCTTGGAGCTGTGGGCACTACTGAGGCCACTCAGCTGGGCAGGTGCTGTGGGCAGGTTCCTCCGCACTCCCCCCTCTCCTGCAGGCTTCCAGCCCTCTGGTGCTGGGTCCAGCCAGTTCATAAGTACTGCTGAAGTGTGGGATACTTGTGCAGTGCTAACGAGTAACCCTGAGGAGCACTGGCACTGTCCTGCCCAGCGCTGACACTGCTGGATTCTGCCCAGGTCCACCTCCAAACCCAGCAGGAGGTGAAGATGCGGATGATGGGGATGGCGATGCGTGTGATCCGCACTGACGGCTTCTTGGCTCTCTACAACGGGCTCAGCGCCTCGCTGTGCCGGCAGGTGAGTGCTGCCCTCCTGGGGCGGACAGGCTGCCCTGCGCCGGGGCAGCGCCCCGGGGACGCTGCGGCTCATCCTCCCTCTGCTCCAGATGACATATTCCTTGACTCGCTTCGCCATCTATGAGACTGCCAGGGACCGCCTGGGCCAGGGCGGCCAGGGACCTCCCCCCTTCTACCAGAAAGTGCTGCTGGGTGCAGTGGGAGGTGAGCGAGGGTCCTTCTGCCCCAGCTCCCTTAGGCTGGAGGAGCCCCCTGACCAGCTCTTCTTTGGCTGCAGGTTTCACCGGCGGGTTTGTGGGGACCCCAGCAGATATGGTGAATGTCAGGTCGGTTCTGCCTGCGTGCTGGCGCTGCTGTAGCTGTCATGTGGAGCA